GATACCCCGTCTGATAGAAAACAATAACCAACTTTGGTAGGAGAGCTTCAGTGCCTCTAACAGTGTCTCATGGGATCCTACATGAGAATTAAGCCAAAAAAATAATAATAATAAAGAAGGATATAAGCTCCAAGCATCCATGGCCTAGGTAAAAAGACCAGGAAGAGTTTGGAAAGATACCCAGAAGAGACAGGGCATTAATATTTTTATCAACAGCAAGCATTCAATTAAGCTACCATGGCAAGCACTTTCCTGAGAATTCAATGCATAATGTCCAGTGTTGACATAACAAGGCAGATTGATCAAGGACTTGATTCGATGTGAGAATATTCAGCAAGAGGAATCATATAGTGTCAAAGAGGAATAAGAGCAACAGCTTTTCAGTATGGATTTTCTCAGTGCAGTTTCCTTATAATAAAGCTCAGATGTTCAATAAATTGATCAAACAGCTACGCAGGAAAGGTGGCCACATGGTTAAAAAAAACCTGGCTCCTACCAACTATACTCCCAAATGTTAGAGAATCAAGGAACAAACAAAGCCGCTAACAGTCTTTTTGGAGAAATCTTTAAAATATACAAAATTCCAGCAGACAAGAAAAAAACAGCAGTTGTATTTAGCAAAAAGGACACAAATCTCAGAAAATTAGTTTTGTTTCTATCTTTAAAATACTCAAAACAAATGTTTACTAACAGAACCTTTAAGCATGAAGAGGAAAACAGAAGACTAAATGAATATTATTATTTAACAAGCAGGCTCCACTGAAAACTTCTATGGAATTCCAATGGACATTTTAAGGGTTCCATAAAGTAAAATATAATATGTAAAGTATGAGCAATAAAGACTAAATTGTTACTTAAAATCTGGGAGTTGGTATCATAAAAGTTTGCATGGCAAGTGATTGACCCAGTAAGCACTGAGGTGGAGATAATTCAATATCGTGATAGCTGAGAAATTTCGGAATTGTGGTCCCAGCATGTTTAGAGAAAAACATATTAGTTTAGATCAGGGGTGTCAAACTGCTGGCCCACGGGCCGGACGCGTCATCTGGAAGCCGCACCCACCCTATTGCCGACAATGGCAAAACCGTCCCCATATGTTGCGCGATGTCACGTGACATCACGAGTTTGACATGTCTGGTTTAGATCATTTCCATGTGCTTTTTGATGCTGATGAGAATCTATATTACAGTTCAAGGCATACAGTTACACCATACAATTTAGTAGGATCTGTACTTACATTTATTTACATTTTTTTAAAAAAAAACTGAGTACACACTAATAAATACCTTAACTTTTTTTTTTACATCAGTGTAATGAGTCAGCAGTGTGATGTTACTTTAAACAGGATTCTACTACTACAGAGAGCAAGGAGCAAGGAGTCTAGTTAATTTAAATAAAACTGTCATTGACTGAAATAGATAATAATATACATGTTTATACACAGACCAACTGTCTTTCTGTTCTTTTCTCACCAGCTTCATATTAGGCTCTGCACATCTCATTTGCAAGCATGCACTTTAAACAAGGTAGTTTTGTTTAACTTGATAGTTTGGGGAAGGACTGGATTAAAGCTAGGTGGAGTTCATTTTTCTCTTTTCATTTCATTTCTCAAGTCAGCAAATTAAAAACCATAATTGCATTTTATATTCCTGTATTATCAAGAAATAGCTGGGCCAGTGAAGAATATGTTTATCATACTGGATTAAAGTGCTAATGTTCAAACAGTCTGCCTATTTGATCTAGACTAGAGCATGACAATACCAAAACTGTGGTAACAGAGTTGCAAAACTCAACCCCATCCAATTAGTCAGCCAGGCAAACAGTTGAAATTGTTGGTCAATTTCTGCTGGTCAGTTTTGATCCAGTCACTTCCACCCATATCTTCTCCCATTCCTACCATCCTTTTCCCAAAATCCTTCAAAGGTATGGGAAACTCCAAGTTGTGGTCTAACATACAAGGACCAAAATTTGTCCAAGAAATTAATCTCAGCATGCTACCTTAATTTACATAATTATAACCAACTTTCTCATTTATACAACAGCAATCTCAGCCAGGAAACCTGTCAGGGGATAGCTAGTTTACAGGGAAAGCATCAGTCACAGGATAATAAATGAAGTGGGTCTAGCCCACATGAATGATTAAATTTGTATCCATCAATCATGCCAGAGATGGAGACATTCCTGAGGAGAATCTGGGCCCCTTTCTTGAATCAAATTAACCAGTGGAACAACCTGCCTCCAGAAGTGGTGAATGCTCCAACACTGGAAGTTTTTAAGAAGAGACTGGACAGCCATTTGTCTGAAATGGTATAGGGTTTCCTGCCTGAGCAGGGGGTTGGACTAGATGACCTCCAAGGTCCCTTCCAACTTTATTATTATTTTTTTATTATTATTATTATTATTATTATTATTATTATTATTATTATTATTATTATTATTATTATTATTATCTGTATAAATAATCACTCCAGATTTTTATATATAGATGGGGAAAAGTGCACGCAAAATATTTCTAATAATATAACATGCATTAGGTTAGACAACAAGGTATCTAATGAAATCACTTACTAATACTTATCTTAAAAAAGGATGTTAAATTTTATTTTATTTCACTTTAACTGTGTGAATCCCCCAAATATCCTGCTTTGAACTATTAATGACTCTCACTAGTAGCCAATTTCTGGAGCAGCTGGCAACTGTGCCATGTTTACTTTTGGGGTAAGGAGCAAGGAGCAGTTGCCCTCAGAAGGACTTGACTGCCAGACTGGACTGTGCTTTAAGGTTTTACCAGTCCCAAGAAGCACCTTCTCCACTTTCCACTGAACTCTGAACCCAGCACTGGTTTAGCAAGCCTGATTATTCTGGCCTCAGTCCAAAGCAAATGACAAGTCTCTCTCTCACTTCCATCACAGTGTGCTGTTGGTGTGTCATCAAGATGACAAGGAAGGGTAGGGACAAGGGGAACCTGTTTCACTTAAGTTTGACCAGCTATGTGAACTAATTCCAAAGATGAAAACTGGTCTTCCAGTTCTACCCCTTGTGAAGACATTTTACAGACACACACACACATGGAATTTACAATTACTCTACTCTTTTCTTCTCGTTGCTCCATAGAATAGTTGTTGCATCTCACTCAGAGAAGGTCATGATTCCAGGAGTTGAGGCGAGAACAGCTTCTGGGCACAAAAGCCCTGGACCAAGAGGAGAAAAATTATTAATTGACTCACAAGCCATTTTCCTACTTCCAGGCTGGCTTGAATCCCAGCAGGACTCAAACCCTATTATGTTATTTCTAGGTCAACAGCCTCAGAGGAATGCCCCTCATTCACATACACGCAAACACAAATACATACACAGAGATATCAGGAGGAAGGTCTGTCCCACTGCCAGCACCCTGGTTGGAGATTCACTGGTGACAGTAAGCACCTCATATTTTTTTACACATAAGTTTGAAAATCCTCAAAATTAAACAGGACTTCACATGCCATTTATGATTCAAATCGCTTTCTGCAATCACACAATGATAACTGTGAAATGGTCTTCAGGAGAGACTGATGTCCATGAGCTCACCTCTTTGGGGTGGGATTTTTTTGGGGGGGGGCAACCAAGAGAATGAAAGGATGACATCACGAGAGGCAAGCAAAATCTGGGTTATCAAGAACCGGAGAGAAGTGCCAATGACACCCACTTTCCTGGAGGAACAGCAAGGAGGTTAATCCCACTAGGGATTTTCCGCTACCCCTCCTTTCCCCTTCATTGTGTACGGCCAATTTGCGAATCCTCACAGAACATTAATTCCAGGCCCAGCAGAGACAAAGGGAACCGCAGCTAGAGCCCAGAGGGTTGCCTGGGTGCAAAGTCTGCCGCCTGGCACTGCCAGAGGGCCGAAGAGGACCATGCTAAGAGGCAGTGGCCTTTCCACAGCACTTCTTTAGACACCCTGCCAAGGCACTAGCAAAGGATCAAGCATTCATTACCTCCTTTTTGCTTATACAAAACTAATAAAACGGGGAGAGGGGGGAAGCAATATAGCTGAAGCTGGTAGCATCCTTTTCCCCCAAAGGATTTTCCATTGCTGAACAAAGGTAAACACCCAATATTGCCTTCCTGTTCAAGGATCCGTCAGTGCCACCAACTAGGGTGGGGCAGCAATGATACCATCAGGCTTTGGAGAATGTGGTCCTTGGGGTGCTCCAGACAAGCGAGTGTTGCTAAGCCTTTGATCTCACCTAGTCCTGCAGAAGATTAGGCTGTAACAAAAGCCAACACAAAAGCTACAGTAGAAGGAATTGGAGCGACTGAGAAGGAGAGGGAGGAGATAATATTTACACAGGGCAGCGTAGGACAGGAGCTGCGGTAGACACGGCAAAATGCCCCTACCCGTGCCCCCCCCCTCTCACATGCTTGTGACTACCTAATCTGAGTCTATCTCCCAGACCTCTCACCTGTCAATCTGAGAAAAGCAAAACACCTGTTCGGTGAGAAAAAGACATGAAGTGATCCTCCTAGGTGCAAGGCGACCCACTGCTGGCTCTGCCAGCCCCACCCGGACTACCATCTGCTTGAGAAGGCTGCAAGCGAGCTGAGCTCATTGTTAGCGCCGGGGAAAGGAAAAAAAAAAAAGGGGGGGGGGTTTGGAATGGAAGGAAGATTGCCAAGGCAGCCCACCGCACCCCTGGACCGATGCGACCAGGTGGGGCATCCCTGAAGCCGGGAGAGAGGAGGGCGAGGCTGACATATTCTCCCAGCCGCCGCCAACCAGAGGGAGAAAGAAATAAAGAAAGGAAGAAAGCAAACTGCGGCTCCAATGAAAAAAAAAAACAACAACCCAGGAGTCAGTAAGGTGCCAGAGAGGGAGAGAAAGATCGGGTCACAATAGCGCCCCGGGGGGGGGAGGTAATCCCCGCTCCCTCCCCGCCTTCTCTAAGAGACCCTGGGAAAGAAAAGAAAGGACATCGGCCAACGCCATACCAACCCCCTCTGCACGCCGCCGGCCGTACCTGCACCGCCGTAGGCTTTGGCGAGCGCCCAGGCCAAGCTGGCAGCGCTCCGCGCCCGAGGGAAATCATACTGATCCAAAGGCTTGATCTCGGGCACCAGGAAGCTCTTCCTCATAGCCGCGGCAGCTGCAGGAGCAGCGGCAACCATGGCCCCACCACCGGGAAAGAGAAGGGGACTCGGCCTGGTGTGGCAGCGGCGGCGGCGGCGGCGGCTAAGGCGACAGCAACGGAGACTAAGCTGGCGGCGCTGGCCCCAGCCGAGCGCATCCCCGTCCGGTTTTTCCCTCCCCACCAGCTCCAGGTGCGAGCGCCCGCCCAGTCGTCCCAGTTTCCCGCCCCCCCCCCGCTCTCGCTGCCACGTGATCGCGGCCGTCCATCAAGGGCGGGGGCGGAGCTTCCAGACAGGTAATTGCCCGGGGCAAAAGGAGGCGCTGGTCTGATGTGGGTTGGGTGGATTGGAGCCGCAGCTCCGGGTGGGTGGGGCGCGTGCGCGCCTTGCACCAAGCAGGCCGGCGGGGGCCGCTTGGAGTCCATTGAGCGTCTGTTGCCAGCGCTCTCCCGGCAGTGAGGATTGGGAGGGGGGGAGGGAGGAACGAGATCGGGATTTCCCTCTCCTCTTCCCTCCCCCTTCCTGGTTATATAGGCTGGAAATGACTACGGCAGTCCTTCTGCTGGAGAGAGAGAGACACACACACGCACACACACAAAGGAGCCGCAGCCCGGGCTAGAGCAAGCGCGCGCGTGCTCGCTCTTCTCGTCTGCACACCTCCACCATGTTAGCGAGCGGCCAGTCAGCCATGAATGACCCTTCTCTCCCCCCCCCGAAGGAAAATGACTTGTCCCTCGGAGCGCACTCCAACCCAACTGGGACCTTGGCTCATTTCCGTGACCAATACGCAGCGCGGGTTTGGCTTTGCGCCCGGCGTTTGTGGGAAAAGCATTGGGTTGGAAAACTGAGCAGAATTACGCTTCTTCCTCTTGCTCCGACACGCTCCCATCTTTGCCAACAAAGATGCTGTGGAGCTGGGGAAGGCCACCGACATAATCACAAAGGCTTAAGGCACTTTTTTTTTTTTTTTTTTAAAAGAAATGCTATAAAGGAGAATTTCAAAACCTAGAAAAAACCGAAATCCAGCGCCCGTTGATGGGGAGGTTTTATTTCTCCTGTAACTTTAACTCGGGGCAACCAATCGAAGATTAAGGGGCGATAATGGTATAAGCGGAATTTGCGGCTGAAAGATGCAGTAATGAGGGTTTGGCTGCAGCAAGTAATTACCATTTTGTTAGGTTGGAGCCAATCTAAATCCTATTGATCCGGGGAGTGGGAGTGGTACCTAAAGGTTGAATAACGTAGGGACCAACGCCTTGAATCCTTAGTTTTTCAACCTGAAATTGGGTTTTTGCCCAGCATTTATTTTCCTGGCTGCGGTTGACCAAAAACAACTGGTCGGATTCTGTGGTTCTTCGTCACCCCCGTTGCATGAAATAGTTCAGTCCACTGCCCGAGTTTATACCCAATACAGTATCACAGAAGGGTCAGCATTTAATTCGGAAGTTTTAAAAGGGAATTAGAAAAATGCATGACTGAAGGTAAACCTAGCAAGACATCTTGGCACAGAGGCCATCTGAAGCTTCCATATTCAGAGGCAAAATAATTGCAAATGCCAGTTTAACTGTTTAAACAGGGAGATAATGAACTTGTCAGGGTCTCGTTTGTTTGCTTGTGTGTACATGTAGATGAAGCATAATTTTAACTGATATATATTGCCACATGTTGCATATATAAGCAAAAACCTACTCACACGCCCGTGCCACTCCTTCCTCTCCCCACCTTCCTAGGTAGGTTCTAGTGACCCACCCTGTTCACAAGATAAGCACCCTCACAGCTAAACTTTTAAAATGTGATTTGAAATGAAATTATTTCAAGGCATTTCACATTTTCAATGAGCATTTGAGGTTTGCATGTAGCCAAGGACACGTTTTCCAGATGCTTTGATTTTATTCCAGATGTCATAGTCTTGAAACTCCAAAGAGCAATCTAGGAAGCAGGCAGTTCTGTACATTAAACATGGAAATGATAATCTATTTTTCCAGAGACAGAAAAAATGTATAAAACCAGCCCTTCCAGTGTCTTGTTTGTCACATTTGAGTCTATATAAGCTTCTTTCCTAGATATCAAACTTGAATTTTGCTTTATATATGTAATTAATTGTTTTGTTAAAAGTATGAAGCAACTACTTTATCAGCTTTTAGATAAAACTTAGGAGCAAAATGTACTTTCAGTCCATTACCCTAATGAACAAAAGCCAGTTTAGTATCGTGGTTAAGGCATCAGGCTAGAAATTGGAAGAGTGAGTTCTAATCCCGCCTTGGGCCAGATGGGGATGGATGGATCTTTTAAAGGAGGCAAGGACAAACCACTTCAGAAAAACCTAGCCAAGAAAATTGCAGGGACAGCAGTCTCTGAGAATCAGACACAATTGAATGGAATCAGACAAATAATGAAGGGCATTTGGATCTTATCAACTAATTTAGAGCACCTGTACACTTGGCAATCTTCAGTTGCTATAGAATATTTAAATTGACAAAGGATTGCAGACAGTGAAAAAATCCATATCAATGTAAGCTGAACAGAGAAATCTTTTGAATCTCATGCCCTCCAGATACATTATGACTACAATTCCCAGAGTTACTACTCACTAGCCATGCTAATTAGAAATTTTAAGAGTTAAGTTCCAAGATAACTGTTGGGCCCCCATTTCGGGCAGGCTCTTTTAGGCCACTTGTATCTATTTGTATTTCTGTTTTGCTTTTTAGTTCCTGGGTAAAAACCCAAATTCCACTGACTCTTAAACAAAAGAGTCAGAAATAAAAGAATCTGAAGTGGCCTGTAATTATGACAAGTAAATGAGACAATGCATGTGTTTTATTTAGCAAGGAACAATGTGTCCTTTTAATGTCTTTGGTAAAGTGTGTTAGTGAATGGCACAACTAAAATTAAACTGCCTCCTAACAATATATAGAGATAGAACCAACTAATCTTATGAGGTAAATAATTTGCTAATTTGGGTGCTCTGCAAGAAACTCTACCCAGTTTATATCCTGCATGGTGTTTTCAGTTAAATAGACCAGCTATACTGGAAGTCATGTAAAACCTTGTACATAGACGCGTAACATAATGTAATATCCGTATCTCTCTGCTCTGAGAGTTTAAGGAAAGATGGACCATAAAAGACCATTTTTGATAGATACAAGAAGTCCAGATCTTTATGCCCATCCACACATCTTAGATCGAGGTAGAATCTGGTATAGGGGCCTTTTCCCAAGACATAACTGGGAAACGATAGTGTGGATGCAGACTTTCAAGTATTTATGTCCCAATAATTGAAAGTTTAAAGGTAGCTTTTAACTGAATCTACACACATTTTGAGAGCTAATTAAAGAAGTAAGATACTTATGATCACAGAATGGAAATCCATGATCATAGAAGCAGACTCAATTTTTACATTTATTTAAGTATTTATTAAAGCTTAGGTGCCATTCTAATCAATACTATCTCTAAGCAACTTACTGCGATCTGGACCAACCAAAATTTGCCTGCATTTTCCAGAAGCAGAACGTAATATAATAGTCATACTTGGATATAACTAAGATGTATAACTTTTCTCAAAACCTCTGTTGCACTCTGTTGAACTGAAGCAAAAATTGCTACCTATTTGTTCAGGAGCAATGCCAATCTTATGAGTGTTTCTGAATTGCAGATCTCCTTAAACAGAATGAAACTCCCTCCAGAATAGGTTGACTCTCTCATTTTGGATAGCCATTTATCTAACCAAGGGAATCCTGTCTTCCCTGGATTAAGTCATATCGAAACTCTTATTGATCCTAGAAAGTGGCTGAGATTATCCCAAGTAATACAACCTAGCACAAGATCTAAATAATGGATCTTTTAAAAAATGAGTCCAAATAAAACAAAATAAATATTAATTTTATTTAATTACATTTGAATTTAAAAAGAGCTTTGCCAATAACTAGGGTTCCTCTTAATCCTCTTGTGAAAGAAGATGGATAAGTGAGATTGGTAACTTGTCCTTCTATCCTTCTCCCTTCTCCTTCCCCCAAACACAACACAAAACATTCCCCATATCCTAGAAAAACACAAGATTCCTAGTGGCTTCATGCATTTTTTTTGAAAACCCCCTTCTGAAATGTGTGTCCATGTGGAGTTTCTTTTTAATTGCACACTGTAACATAAGCATGATGTCACTTTTTAAAGGCTACCTACCAGTGTCAGCTTAGTCAATGGTCTGAGGTAATAAAGCTTTTCTTGCTTGATGGTCTTGATCTTTCAGTGTAGATACACCCCCCCCCAAGGTAATCTTTTTTTCTTGGCATTATTCTCCACTTCTCATATTGATTAAATCAGGAAAACAGAATTCCTAAAGCAAAGTCTGACATTGACTCCTCTTGGGGAATGCAGTGCAAGTTTCTGTGTGTGAATGATTAACAGATTTACTGAGAAGTCAGCCGAAACATTCTCCTAGGGCAGTTGTTTCCCAAACCTTTTCCTTCATTACCCCAAATCGCTTATCAGAAAATCCGTTTTCCCGCTTATCAGAAACTCCTTATTTAAATGTCCCTGTTGTGATTGGGTAATGGGTTTGTGTGTCCAAAGAAAAAAAGATTTTTACCCAATTTTGCATAATTTACCCAGGTTTAAGAAACACTGCTCTGGGGTCTTTAATTTTGCCACAATAAGTGACCCAGAGCTTCAATGTCACTTGTGCAGGTACAAATTCAAATATTGATGTCAGAACTCTCACCAACTAAGAATCTGGGGGAGGATGGTGCATGAAGAGCTGAAGAACAAAAACAAAAACAATAAAAGGGGGGACTTGTAAAAAGAAGATTTGGACTTTTTATTGTGGAAAACAATGCCAATAATATATGACATGAAAGTGGTATATGAAATCATGCACCATGCAAAAAGGGAAATATCCCCCACACACACACACACCTAAAATATTAGAGGTTAGGATCATATGCAATAAAGCTGGATAGTGACATATTCAAAAGAAAAATAAATATTTCTCTACTGTCTCACACACACAAATACACCCCCAAAAAAGAGAAACAATACATTTCCAT